ATTGAATATTGGGAAATTTAGGACAGATTAAAAAGAAATTATTCTTGAAGTAGAGCACAGTCAAATTGTGGAACTAATACAAACAAAGAAGATTGGACCAGTTTATGGATGCTAAATTTATTAATGCTTGTTAGACACAATTTCTACATATTATATTCAGTTTTGGAGAGTTAGCTTATAACTCCTGACAGAACAATTAATCAATGGAACAACTTGCCTCCAGAAGTTGTGAATGCTCCACCACTGGAAGTTTTTAAGAGATTGAATAACCATTTATCTGAAATGGTATAGGGTTTCCTGCCTAAGCAAGGGGTTGGACTAGAAGACCTCCAAGGCCCCTTCCAACTTTGTTATTCTATTCTATTCTTTTTTAATTAAAAAATACTTTATTAAAGTTCAAGATATTAAAAGGTTTACAAAAAGCAGAATATTTAAAATATTAACATAAATTTATGTAATAGAAATTATATTGACATCTTTCAATATTCAATATTCTATGCTATTCTATGCTATTCTATAGCAGTTATTGGGAAATGCAAGATCCAATTTTGTCTTGCTTGAAGTCTTCCTATGGGCATCTGGCTTTCTTTGTGAAATATTTTCCCCCAGTCCAAAATGGTTTATGTCCTCATAATGTTCAGTGTAGAGCATGAAATAAGCCACTGAATACTTAATTACTCTAAAGCAGGGGTTGCCAACCTTTTGGACCTCAGAGACCACCAAACTCATAATTTTAAATCCTGGGGACCACTAACCAGGTCTGTGGGTGTGGCCTGGTGATCATGTGACTGGCTGGGCATGGCTTGTATGTAAAAAATTTGCTAGCAAGCAAACTCACAAAATTAACTCAAAACACATTGTGTCTGTAAATATTGCTTTTTTTATATAAAAAAGAGCAACTTTTACCCAAAATCAGGCAAAGCAGGCAGGCAGATTGAGTTGCTCAAAGAATCACAGATTCACTTAAAGATCTGTGTTTCTGCCATTGGCTAGCTCCGTCTGCACTGCTTCAGTCCTAAGGAAGGTTTGGCTCTGCTTAAAAGCAGAGCTGAAGATCTAAAAATTAGCTAGAAAGCAAGAAATCCAACCATTTCCTGCTTTCTAGCTAATCTAAATCTGGCACAGCAGAACAGCTGATGGTCAGAAAAAGGAAAAATAGCAACTTAGCAGGCAAGTTTGCCAGGTAAGGAGTGAGAGGGCAGTGAGGGTTCCCGTGGGCTATGGGGGCAGCGCAGTGTTCCTGCACAGCCTGGATTAATTGCTTTGGAGGTGCTCTGCAGGTGACATTTCTCTATGGACCACCAAAATTTTCTTGCGGACCACCAGTGGGCCATGCCCCACCAGTTGGCGACCACTGCTCTAAAGTAAGAGCAACCTGGCCATGGAGTCAGAGCAAGACTAGGGCATTGAGAAGGGATAAGACTTAACTTTTTTATTCCCACAAGTTCCTATAACTGTTTCCATTTAGAAAATGTGGGAAAACCAATAATAATAACTAATTTTCTAGGCTTTGCGGAAAAGTACCCTTAACTATCATTTTCTCTTTTTAGAAACCATACAAAATAATTTTGCTAAAATAAGGACTGTTCAGGTATCAAAACCTGAAAGTCACGTATGGTATGGAAAATGAGAACTGTTTTACTCATATTCATAATCTGGAATTCAAGTTTTACAATAACACTCATTGACAAAGTCAGAAATTTCAAAAGACAATACAGGTAGTCCTTGACTTATGACAATTTAGACCAGAATTGTCATTGCTAAGCAAGGTTAGTCATGCCCAACTTTATGAACTTTTTTGCCATTGTTGTCAAGTAAAACACTGCAGTTGTTAAGGGAATCATATAGTTATTTTGTGAAACCAGGTTCCTCCCCTGACTTTGCTTATCAAAAGCCAACTGGGAAGGTCACAAATGGTGATCGTGTTACCCTGGGGGCGGTTGCAACCATTATAAATACATGTCAGTTGCCAAGCAACTGAATTTTGATCACGTGATCCTGGGGATGCTAGGATAGTCATAAGTGTAAAGAATTGGTCATAATTTCTTTTCTGTAGCCTTTTAACTTTGAACATATGGAATGGTTGTAAGATGAGGAATACTTGTACTTCATACAAGCTGTAATTAATTCATGTAATTCATACCAAAAGAGGTGATGGTGACCATTGGCTTCAATGATTTAATGTTTGTATCAGGGAGTGGGGTTAGGGAGGTATTAGGTTTTATATTTAAATAGAACTTCTGTGTTATTACAACCTTTTTTGCTACTTTTTTCTGTGGGTTGAGACTAAGATACTTTCAAAGATATTCTAAGGATAGAAACTAAACAATAGTGATGGGAAAGTACTTTGGTCTGGGAAAATTAAAATCCTACTTCATTTTATCTTACCCACAAAAGGCCAAGAAGAGATTAGGAGCATTAAAGTCCAGGAGGTCTGTGGTTCCTTCAATTAAACATGATTGTATTGTAAAAAAAAAATTTTTGAATTAACTTACCAGAATCTTGCTGTTTGAGGTGAAAAAACAGGAAGAAAAGGCAAACATTTTCCATTGAACTGATTACCTGTTATTATTTTTTGTCAACAAAACATTTCTGAACTTTGATTTAAATAAGTCTAAACAGTTTCTAACATGTAGCTTCCTGTTTTGCAATCTTGAAATCCCAGAGGTCAAACTGCCAAATTTCTATGAGAAAAAAAATGCCAAGGAAGAGAGGTGAAAGTTCAGTATGGAAAAAAATGTGTAACTGAAAAAAGTTACTTTCTCTTGGTCCACAAATCCAAGCCACTCTTCAATGTCAGGCCTACAACCCCCGCAGAAATACTAACCAGTCAAGCTTCAGTGATATCATGGAATACCTGCATCCATTCTAGCCTCTTTCAAATAAAACAACCTGCTTGCTGAACCTCAGCAACAATCTTGAACTACAGAGCAGTTGCTTGCTCTGTAAGCAAACAGAGCAAATCTTTGGGAATAAGAGACTTTGTGCTAACATTGTTAATGATACAGCCCTGTCAACTTGCCAATGCCTGGACAAAATTATAAAGGACCCCTTCTTCCTTTTCTCTAGACATAAAGCTCTTCCTCAGAGTGCATTTTCATCCAGTTCTTGAGCAGGCAAAAAACTATGATTGCACAATTGGCGCTATTCTCACACCTAAACTCTAATCTGTGTCTACAGATTAAAAAAGGTTGACTGGGACATCCATCCTTATATACCCCTTACCTCTGTGGGACAACATAAGGGCAGTGGTTGGTGGATTTTTCTGGATTTATTTTCTCCCACCCACATGTGGTGGGGCAGGTTTGGGGAAAATGGGCAGCATAACACAGATGATAGATGATGATAGATAAGAGAGAGAGGAGGAGGAGAGGAAGGGATAGAGGGAAAGAGGAAAGAAGATAGATAGATAGATAGATAGATAGATAGATAGATAGATAGATAGAT